ACACACACATGCACTCACTCGATTCACGAACTCAATTGATATGCTTAGTGAGACGAGATCGTTAAAGAACCGATCGATTGGTTACTCTCTAACTCTTCTTTCGGAGTCGGAGTCAGACATCGTGAAACAATCAACGATTATTTGCGAGAGAATAGTGAACGTATTTGCTTAGTTTTTCTCCCCTCTCTCAATCTCTAATAGATTTATACAATTAATAACAATGATAGTTCCAATTCCTTTATTTATCAATTCAATATCGTTGATCTCTGTTTCATTTGAAGTATTTCAGCTTGTAAGCTGAAGAAACAAAGCTGCCAGAATTTTCCCTCATCTATTATAATCCTGAGCATTACAACAGCAGAGTTATTATTGCACTTTCAAAGACAAACATACATATAATAGTTAAAACACCCAAAAATATACGAATATATATTTTATGTGTACAATAGTTCAGTTCCTTTATTTAAATAGCAGTGAATGGGTTTATTTTGCTGCTCTCGTCGAACTTAAATTTGGGGTGCAAAGGGAAAGGAAAAGTGCAGCTTTAAGGCACAGCATATATGTACATACATATGCAAAATGAAAAAACTTTTGCTCCGACCAAATCCATAGCTATGCATACACAAAAGTACACCACAGTTGCACACACACACACACACACATACACACACAATAGTCACAGAGACACGCTTCGAGCTGAATGGGGCATGTGGCGTATACGCAACGTAAAACTTAGCCAGGCGTAAATGGATACATCTTGGCTATAAGTGCATGCCACAAACACACGCACACACTCGCACACACGCACATACTGTCGCACACATGAGGAAACAGCGCTCAGACAAAACATGATAACAATTAAAACTTTGTACACTTGGCGTATTTACATTATTCATTTCGGTGTTGGATTCTCTTGTCACATTTGTAATCGTTGTTGCTGCTGCTGTTGTTGTCGCTTATGTCCCCTTATTTTATTTATTTAATTTTTTTTATTTTCTATTTCTATTATTATTTGTATTCTGCTCATTTCGTTCCAGCTTGGACCAGACTAGTTTGCAGCCAAAACAAATATTCAAATAGAAATACAAATGCCAAAAACGAAAGAATGCTTTAGCTCTGAAGGGGTGTGTGTATGTGGGTGTGTGTGTAAGTGTGTGTGTGTGTACGCCTTTGTGTGTTTGTGATTGACACACGCTTAGTAACATTTTAATAGAGGTTGGTATCTTACTGACTAGCAAATACCCTGCCTTGCCACAATAAACAAGAATATTAGTTACCTTTTCTTTTACATAACATTTTATATGTAGATATAGGTATGTATGTACCTACATAAAAATTCATATATTAACTATAATCTCTATCCTCTATACATATCTTGTATAGGGATATACATAAATAAATGCATTATAATGATATATCTATAAAGGCATATCAGACTTCTCTAAGCTAAGACTAGACTATCGTACTTTACTACAATGAAATCTTAAAAGGCAGAATATTAGTAGAGTTTTGAACTAGCTCTTTGAACTATTTCTTAAAGCCACATCAATTCAAGATCAAATGTAAATCAATGAAATTTAAAATAATTCCAGATGTAATCGAAGGTGATGAAATTTTATATACGTTAACTATAATATGGATCATTGTGTTTTTCAAATGATATATGTATTGAAGACCTCTCTACAGGTCAAGCACGTGCAGCAGTCGAGTGTGCTGTGCCGCAGGCGCTGTAACAGACAGACAAACGACAGACAGACAGATAGACAGACAGACAGTAGATCCACTCAACCGTTGATGCTGAGCAATTATAATATATATATATGCAAATATACATATATATACGACATATACACATATACCATATACTTAATGCGCCGACATGCCGCCTCTGGCCGCCCTCTGCCCGTTAAATCATTTTTCAATGGTATAATAAATGCATAATTTATTGCAAAAGGTAATTACGAATGGACCTGGTCCAGCGTCTGTTGGCCGCACTGCTGCACGAATGATATATGAAACCATAATTACTTTAATTAAGCAAATATTTTCACGCGTCGAGCTGTTGTTGTTGTTGTTGTTGTTGTTGCTGTTGCAGGTCAGCGCATTGATTGAGCATATTTATTAATAGCTGTTATTGCGCTCATTGTTGCACGGACGCAAAAAGCAAGCACGACTCGACCCAATCCAACTCGACTGGACTCGACTCGACAGCCGGCCAGGAGAGGCCAGTGCTACACGTATATTGACGCCGTTTAATTAGCATTTAAAGCCGACACCAAACCATAAAAGTCCAACCGCTCTCGTTATCTTGGCAGCTGAGCACTGAGCAAACAAGCAGGCACCAAGGGGCGTGGCAGATCAGTCATGTCTCTCTGTTCGCAGTCAGCTGAAGTTTAACAAACCAAAACGTCTCTAAAATATATACCAAACGCAAAACAAATTCATAATTTGTTCGATAAGTCATTCGATCTCGATTCGATTGACTTGCAAAAGAATTTCTGTTGAATAGGCAGAAAGAGGTGTGGTACATCCCATCAAGTGTATATATTCGATGAGCTGACTCGATACGATGAGGTCCAACTGGTTGGCCGTATAATTTTTGTTCGATAGCTCATCCCATTTCTTATCGCCTAGTCGATCAGACTCGACTTGTTGCTCAGCCAAAAATGAGATATAATTTAGGCTAGATGCCATCAGTTTCTTATCTAACTCTCTGCTCATACCACTTTGTATGCTTCCCTGCATTCTCAGTGTTATTTATTATCAATAATTCCCCAACTGTCGCACTCTTGCTTATTGATTAAAAGAAAAGCTGAGCTAATTCAAGGTTCCGAGACTTTTCCGTCAACTGTCCAATTCATATCTTATCTAGATAATGTAAAACGCACACCTTTGCTTGATCGCCCATAAAGTCGATCCGACTGTGATCTGTTCATGATTTCACTTTACTGCTTTGTTCCTGGAACTCTATCGCTCGGTTCACCTTGATAAATGTTACAAATATATTTTTAGCAAGCATTAAATGCAATGCTGTGGGTGTCAGTATGTGAATCACTCAGTTTCAAAGTGCTCAAGTTACTTAATTTTTGTTGTGCAGTGTTGTTCATTGATTGATCACAAATATACGCGCATAACTGTAATTGCTTTAATTGTCGCACGTGCATCACAAGCGAGGCAGCAACAGATTTTGCATTGACTGCATTGGCTGTTGACTGCACCTCAAATACATAGCTAAAATGAAATATACGATCTGTAGCTGCCATAGCCAGACTTATTTCCCAGTAACCGACGTTTGTTAAAGAAATGCGACACAATTGGCTTGACTTGAGCATTTATTTAATTATAAGGCTTAAGTTTCGGACTGCCGAGCGAGGGATGAGCCATCGTTGATCGTGAGGGTGTCCGTGGCAAGGTCATCCCTTCACACTTCGCCATCATGCACATAGGCCTGCAAAAACAGAACAATTCTTTCACATAACTCTCGCCATTTGGCATGACTCCACACTCGTCTCAACTAACCCAAATCAGGGCACCGGCCACAAATGCGAAAATCAAAATATTGAAACCGATAACTAGTATTTCTATTTGTCTTCCCCACATTGTTTTACTATCAAGCTCTTTTTCCACTGGCATAAAGATCGTTGCAATCGATCACGGAACTCCCGTGTGACTGAGCCGCTAGCTAGCGGTCGCTGCTTTCGGCGCAGCTCGCAGCAGCAGCGCACAGTGGGACATTTGCTCATTTTGCGTTGCGAATATCATGTATTCGTCAGCGAATTCTTCGAGCTTTAAAATGAATCTAATTACAAGGTGATGGGTTAACAGATGGCATTCCAGCTTTACCTCAAACATGAAAAATGTGATTTTATAGAAAAAATTCCTTCATTTGTATGAAAAACTGAAATATATATGTAAATGATTTTATTTCAACTATTTACTGTTTACCGAAATAGCCACGCATTGCCGGCTGAGCCTACTGTGCAGCGGCTCGGCGCCTGAGTGCGCTGCACTTGCTTAAGCAAAGAGCGCCTGCTCGACTAGCGGATACCCTAAACTCGATAAAAACAGCTGACATTCATTTTACGTTTGTCACAACAAACATACATACATACATATATGTCGTATCAGTGCGATATTAGACTGTTGTTGAATTTGCAATTTGATATCTTGATATCGTGTTAATCGATTGATTTAGTATTGTAGTGCAATTAAAGCATGCACTGTCACTAAGAGAGAGAGAGAGACAACAATAGCTGTTGGTGAATAGCTGTGGTCCCGGGTGTCGCTGGGTGAGAGTGAGATGGCTAGTTATGTCGTTCGCAGCAGGGTCGCTGGGCTTTCGATGAACAAGAATATGCGACCATTATTAGAAGTTTCGTGAGTAGAGGAGAAATCACACTTGGTCAAAGACGATTGAACGAGTAAGACCATTTAAAAGAGTTTAGCGACACACCGGGAATTCGTTGGTAGGCGCAGCTAAGATGGAAAACATGAACGAGAATATTTATGTATACATATATATTTTATACTATATATTCTACATAATACTGACGACAGCGTTGATAACGCAGAGACTGAACTTGGACTGCATTTCGGATAGTAAGTTAATGCAATGAGTTATGCAGAAAATTGATAACCTCCTACTGCAATTCAGTAGCCTTTGTGGTCTATGAGATCGCAGCGTTCATATGGACAAACAGACGGACGGACAGTGGATTAAGCTTAGTCTTGTGTATATACTGTATGGGGTCTGCCACGCCTTCTTCTGTCTGTTGCATACATATTCAGAAGCCCCATTCAAATGATTTCAGGGTTTCATATTGACCTTTTAAAAAAAGGTTCTGATATTTAATAATCAAGTCTTGTTAAAATGTATGCGAATTTATCTCTCGAATATGTGTTTAAGAACAGTATTACATAGTTCCTAGCAAAACTAGCATACCCTATGCTATTTTATTTTATTTTTTTAATTATAGATGCTGCACATATAAAAAACAAAATAGGATAATTGTTAATTCTCCGAAGATAATCTTCTTGTGGTTGCCATGTGATGTGCTCTTTGTTTGAGCTCTTCCAATCGAGTTTATTCATAACAAATACACAAACTAATATATGTTTGTACACATCTAACATGATAGTCTGTCATATATATGTGCATATGCATTATCGTTGAGCTAGTGAAGTGGAACGATGCAGATCTCCATGTGATTGCTGCCATCCCACATGGGGATCTTTCGGCCCTTCACATCCAATTGAATGCTGAACGTGTCGACGGCTGGACAGTGGATAGGCCGTACGATATCCACCTGGCCATTGAGCACATTCTCGAGCAGGCCGCGCACCACCAACGGCGCCAGGATGCTCAGATTGAGCGTCAGCTTCTGGCTCAGCCTGGACAACCTTGTGTGCTGCTTGATGCCATAGATATAGAAACTGTTGCCAATTGTAGTGTAGCGACTGTGGGGCATAGACGAATTTGATGCAGTGAACTCAACGTGGCATTAGATCTGTGCTGTTACCTTTCGTAGGTGCGCGACTTGTCAAACACAAGCATTTCGGCTATAATCGTCAAAAAGTCCACCAGTTTGTCCTGCTCGGACGTTTGCCCATCCATCTCACGTACGCCAAAACGCAGGCCCAGCACCTCCAGTTGCAGTTGCCAGTGCATCAGATTCATGCCAGAGCTAACGATGCGAAAATTGCGAAATTGCTGAGAGAGTAGAAATTACATGTCAATTAAGGTCAGAGAGAGTAGAGAGACTTGACCCACTCTGAGTAGATTCAGCAGAGTCATCGTGTATATCAAACGACGCTGATTGAATGCGGTGCGCGCTGCAGCCTCGTTGGGCCACTGGGGCACAGTCCCCTCCACATTGTGGTAGAACTCGTGCAGAAACTTGTGCATGTGTGTGGCATCGATGATCTGCACGCCAGTTTTCAAATGCTTGTAGAAGAAGATCAGATTGCCCGCAAGTACGCCATTGTAGCCGGAGCTGATGAAAAAGTCCGTCGAGAGGGCCACCACCTGTAGAAGCATAGGACCGTAATTAGCTCAACTCCTGATCAAGGCTCCAGGCACTCACCTGCATCACGTTGTGTATCCTCTGCTGCTCGGCGCAGAGACAATTTTGGCGCAGATGCAAATTGGTGAACGATTTGTAGCTGTGCAACATGCACTCGGAGTGCTCCACCCTCAGTTTGCTGGATGCGTTGCGCAGGATCATCTGCTTCTCCGGACGCACCTTCGAGATGATCATATGCAATGGGCCAACGGGCAGGTCCAGTAGATTCACCTGCTCCTCACTCCCATCCAGCTTGATGCGCTTATCCTCCCCGAGAGCCTCTTGTTTAAGGTTCACTTTGCGTTTACGTTCCATCATATAACAATTTATATGTGATTTATATGTATGTTTAAGTATTCAGGAACTCGAATCTGTTGTTGTGTCTGTTACTTCAATTATGAACTAGAATTTTAAAATGATTGTACAACCGTCAGTTAGGAGTTAGAGTTAGAAAACTCAGCTTGCTTGGTTTGACTTTTTCGATTTATTATGGTATATATATATAAATAGCTATATTATTCACATTACCATCAATCTAATTAGCTTTTCAAATACATGCGTGTACATAATATCATCTTTTTTTTTTTTTTTTTTTTGAAAAAAATTGCTTTTCATAACTTTCTTTATTTATTAATTTTTTTGTTAAACAAATGCTCCATTGATTGATTGATTGAGTTATAAACATTTACAATACATATAAAAGTAGAGCACCTTAAAATTGATTTTGAGAAGAACAATGTTAAACGACTGTTAAATATTCAATTAGCATTATACGACTACTGTTAACGCACTGTTAAAGTATTCTTTGATCTGAGCATTAGTTCTATACACGTTTTTAAATACTATATTAAATGTTATCAAAATAAAGGCTTGCAATTTTGGTCATTCAGTTGAGTTAGGAGGTGCACGTATTACTCTTATATATGTGTATATATATA